CTATTTCACATTGCCCTCCGTGAGCCAGAAGATGTAGGCTCATCCTACATTTGGAAAGAACTTTCCAAAACCCAGAAATGTGCTAACGAGGAAGCAGCTTCTGCTGGTGCTGCTACTGCTGCAAATATTGTTTTTGCAATTTCTGGCCTGTATGAAACAATGCCAGATACTTTTTTTTTTAAGTGACTACTGTTGTTCACCAAAAAGCCAAGAGCCCACAACATTAGATCCCATTCCCTAACCTGAAGCTGGGCAGGATGATGCTGCGTTAGGGGAACGCCTCTTACATGTTAGTGCGCATCAAAATCACTGGAAGGCTGGTTAGAACAAAGATCCCAGGGTGGGGTGAGGTTCAGGAATGTGCATTTTTCACAAGCTCCCAGGTGAGGGTGATGCTCCCAGTCCCCAGGTGACACTGTGTGTCGCACTGGTGTAAGGCAATGCTTCACAGACTCTACTGTGCTTACAAACCACCTCGTGGTGCTGTACAAATGCAGATTCTGATTCAGGGCTCTGACGCTCTTGTCCTCAGACCACTCTGCAAGGGGCAAGGGTATAGGATATTCCATTGCGGGTAGGGGAAGAAACTTTGCTAGTACCATTGTTCACATAGATAGCTGCCCATTTGGCAGTTTGATAGGCAAGGGATAAAAACCTTAAGTATTAGTCTCCTCACTATTTTTTTTTTTTTTTCAGATGGAGCAGCAAAGAAGAAATCAATTAAATGACATCCCCAAATCAGTGACAAACTAGGGATGTTTGAGGGGTGAACAATTTGTAGACTCTGGGAGACATGTAAGGCATGAAAGGGTATCCATTTCAATCAACTCTTTCCAAAACTCCATGTCCAGGATGCCAGCCATGAAATTCCAAAACTCCATGTCCAGAATCTGACTCAGGAGAAATGAGAAATTTTTCTTAAGAGATTTCTTTAGTTTGAATCACAGCATGCTTTGCTTTGCAATGGGGGGAAGCCACTTTACCAAAAAAAAAAAAAAGTGATGCTAATAGAAAGAGCAGAGATGGAGGACAATGCAGTGTATCCAATTCAGCCTCAATACTTGGAGCATAAGTGGCACAAGAATTGTGACACTTTAATTTAGTCAAGAATCCTAAATTCAAGATGGCGCGTCTTACACTGCGGTGGAAACCATGCACGTACACGCCCTTGTCCTAAGGAAGCCATCATTCATCCCTCATTTTCATTGACTCATTCATGCATCTAGTTATTAATACTGAGTGTTTCCTCTGTGGCAGACGTGTTCTAGAAACTGGGGACTTAAGAGAGAACCAACTGCAACAAACACCCAAGCTGCTCTATCAGTTGTAAAGCACTTTCAGTGCTGAGGCAGAGGAGATGGTTCTGTGCTTTTCTTCTCTGTGAAGCAGTGCAAGGGGGTGAGGGATTTAGAGCAGTGCTTCTCCAACTATGTCAAGAGCCCGGTTTACTCCCCCCAATTTGTTGTAGATTGATACTTTTATAAAACACAATAAAAATGAATTACTAGAGAAAAAGAAATTTTAAAACAAAGATACATAAAATACAAGTCCCAATTTTTTATTAAATCCAAAACAATGTCAATTGTCTAAAAATATCAATTGCTAAAAAAAAAATCAGTAAGTAGCTACAAGATCACTCTCAAATTCCCTATATCTCAGGGAAGACTGGCACCGCATAGCTTGCAGACAAGCGTAATCCTCAGACTCCCTTTTGCATAGAACTGGTTTAGAGCAGACTGTAGGGTTTTCCGTCTTGTGCCACTAGAGAGTAAGTTCCAAAAGCATGTTATAGTGCCAGGCAAAGGGAAGGTGGTCAATAAAGAATTTATTGAATGAATGAATGCATGCATGGCTAGATGGATGGCTGGATATAGTGAATAAGTTTTGAGAGTGACAAATACCTGCAGAGTCATATGGAAACATAAGAAATAGAGAGTGACAAAAACACGTTTACTTTTACGTTTTGTCTGACCGTGTTATTAGTCTCATTTCCATCAGACAACCTGTTGGTGTTTATTTTCCTGCAGTGTCATGCTATATTTTATACAAAGCAACTTTAAAATGCTTAGTGTACTGAATTTTAAAAAAAGGCAGCAGTGCACTACAGAGTGGATCTGGGAACTAAAGACGCTGGCTTATTAAACGTGATAATTTTCAGCTTGAGTAGCAAAGACACGTTAAAACTCATAACTAGTTGACTACAATCTGGGCCACATCCGGGCCATATTCTACCAGCTAAATGACATCTCTGGCCAGTCTGTCTCTGTGCCTGCCAGGTCCTCCCAACCTCGTCACCTGCCAGATTGTACATGTTACTATGCCTCTTGTCCTTTAAATCATTTACTCCATTCCAAGGCTTCAACTTTACCTTTTCTCTCTTTGACCTTGTCAAGATACGATAATTATATATAAGTGAGTAAATCTTGACACCAAGGCCATTCGAGCTATTAAGCTGCAAATTTGCTTTCAGAGCTTAAACACTTGCTTTGGTTTTTGGTTATTTTGTTGCCCTCTGTTTTTCCATAAAATTTTTATTTTATGGAAATGCAAATTAGGCCATATCAATAAATTTGTTTAATATTCTCAGAGTTTCGAGGTTTAAAAAGCAAATGAGGAGATGTTTATTTTTTCTCCATCTTGAGAAATTCTCTAGCTTTTATAATGATTGTAAAGTGTTTTCTAACAGTCTGCCATGCTTAAATTTCATTGTTTCTTAAATGTGTTTTTATTTCTCCTTGATATTTTTATTCCCAGCTAATGATAGGCGGCTAATCTGAAGAAAAAGTAAGAAATAATGCTCAAAAATTTTAGCTGAGGCTCCAAAACAAATGTTAAGAAGGGAGCTTCGAGGAAATATATTTCTGTGTGAAAGATGCATATGGATCAAGTATTCAATTGCAGGAAGTTTTAAAATGTCCTTAAAAGTGATTCCCTCTGCTTATACTATGGTTTGGTCACCGAGTAGAAGAGAGGATGTCCCTTTCCCCTGTGGCAGCACCCAGTGTCACATAGCATCAGCCTAGCAGGTCCCCCAGGGAGGGTGGAAGGACAGCTGTCTCAGTGCCACTTCCACTTGTTTGGTGATGGGCAGAGGACGCAGTGCCTGGGAGCCCTGTGGACAGAAGCCCTGGGCACCCTGTCCTTGTCTCTCCAAATGGCATCTGGGCAGGACAGACACTAGGGTTACGGGGGGGGGGGAGACAGGGGCATTCTTGTGGGTGCTAACATGCGTTCACATCAGTGATTTTACTGTCTAGTCACAGGATAGAAGGAAGGAAGTAAACAGGAAGGAAAAGAGGAGAAGCACCATCTTATACATGAAACAGCTTTGCAAGTCTTGGCCCAAAATGACACAACAGAGTAGTACTAGTAGTAATAGTAGAAGTAGTAATAGTGACGACAGCAGTCATAATGACAGGTAGTAGTGATGATAGCAGCCAACACTTAGTAGCATGTGCTATGAGTCAGACAGTATTCTGGGTGCTTTCTATGCATTGACTTGCAAGTGCTTTAAATGTATGGCAACAGCTCTGTGGAGTGGTGGTCTTACTATGGTGAGGAAACTGAGAAACAATGAAATGAAATAACTTGCCCACAGTCACACAGCTGGGAAGTAGCAGAACTGTAATTCAAACCCAGGCCCTCCGAATGAACATCTTCCCGGGTGTGATGCCTCTATCCTATGTCCCCAATATCAAAAGAGTTTTCTCATTAAAGAAATACTTATAACTAGGACACTCCCCTGAGAGAGGTCCAGCACTTCTGTTAATTTTAATGTACAAAGAAGGAAGAATCAAGGAAGACATATATAAGGGCAGGTGTAGGGCAGGCAACTGAAGTGAATATAGCTTCCTTCCATTTATACAACTTCTTTTTGAAAAGCACAGCCTTCTACACTTTGAATAACCTCACAGCATACAACTTAGGTAAAAATGTGCTATTGTGGCTGGGCAACAGTAGCCCATGCCTATAATCCTAGCATTTTGGGAGGCTGAGGCAGGAAGATCACTTGAGGCTGGGAGTTTGAGACCAGCCAGGGCAACATAGCAAGACCCCGTCACTATAAAAATAAAAAAATTAGCCAGGCGTAGTGGTGCACACCTGTAGTCCCAGCTACCCAGGAGGCTGAGGCAGGAAGATCACTTGAGCCCATGAATTTGAGGTTACAATGAGCTACGATGACAACACTGCACCCTAGTCTGGGCAACAGGGCCAGACCTTGCCTCAAGAAAAAAAAAGTGCTATTGTGCCCATATTTCTCTTAAATAAAGAAACACTGTAAGAAAATCACAGTGTAATAATAGTTGATGTATACCTACAATTTAAACTGATACTAATATTTTTAGTTTTATATTTACCTCCAAATCACTAGCTAAAATGCATATAAAATATGTACCTCCAGCCTATTAATCAAAAATATCTATTGACAGATTATTTTACTTTTTCTGTTGCCCAGAAACCATTTCATTATACATAGTCAGAATAAAATTTTCAATATTAACAAGATCACTGGAATTAAATGATCTGACTTTTAAAAGCCAGTTTTCCAAGTTCAAATTCACTGTGAGCTAGCCAAGGTATTTACAGTATGCCTGCCCTCAAATGGCAGTTTTCTTGTTGGTAATTGAGGTTAAGCAGAATAACTTCCTTCCTGTTAATCCTTCATACTCTGGGATGCATTCACCAACGGAAAAAAAATTCCTTTCAAGGACAAATTCCAGGCATGATAATGAGGAGTGGCTTGCATGTTAATGACACTGTCCATCTCCCATGTTCAAAGCTAACCACTTTTTTTTTTCTTAAGGATCTTAAGGAACTTCCATTATCCAACTACACTAGACTGAAATTTCCCTAGTGCCTGTGAAATTTATTTCCTCTTGTTTTCTCCCTGGTGTATATGGAAACAGATGGCAATTCTTCTTCTTCTGTTTTAATTTATGACTCTTGCCAAGTCAATGGCAACTGCTGATAAAAACAGTAAGTTCAAATTGTGTGATTACCTGTAGGAGAGGCCGCTGCACCCCCAGCACCTTCATGGTGTCTGCATTAGCCAGAATCTTCAAGGGGTCTGACGTTTTAGTGACTCCTTCAATCTCCTTGTTGATCTCAGCCAAGACCTGGCTGAGGAAGATGTTTTTGATGTATATGGTGAGAAACTCTCGAAGAGGGCACTGTTTGGCTGGGCCAAGTCCTAGGGCATGCTCGATCTCCTGAATAAATCTGGAAGACAAACAGTAAGGAAGATGTTAAATATACCAGAAAAACAGGTAAGTGTGACACAACAGATAGGAGTATCTCTAGGCTTTGGCTATTTCCAGGAAGGGGGCAGGTCCCACTCTCTTATTCATTTATATATGATTTTTAATTTTTTCAAAATGTGTTATTTTGAATGAAGGCTACTCTTTAAAATTCTTGATGATATATGAGCTTGAAGGTTAATAAAGGGGATGGGATAGGAGTTGGAAGACAAAGGAGAATTTCAACCTTACTTATGATGATTTATTTCCTTTATTAAAAACACTTAAAATATACATAACAGAATGTTAATAACTATAAAATCTCAGAGATGAGTACACAGATGTGTGTTATATTATTCTTTGTAATTTTCTATATAGGCAGCCCGTGCTTTGTGTAACTTAAACGCACAGATTTAAGTTACCACAGTTTAATTAAATAGCATCAGTTCCCCAGTAACATGGTTTAAATTCCACAATACCACAGTAAATTAACCATGAGTAACTGCAGAAAGCACAAACTTTGCTGTTGGCTCTTTGGAAAAACGCTATATAAGTAACTGATGCGCAAGCATCATGATCGGTGACCAATCACATCGCTTCTTCCAAAGTCTACTGGTCACTGCACATTGCCATTCGGTTCATGTACAGGCAACAAGGCATGGAGCTGTGGTGCCTCCCTGTCTCCTGGTGATAAACCCATGTGACATTTTATTAAATTGGGTAATTAAAAGTAGGGATTGGCCAATAAAGATAAAAGTACAGCCCAAAACACACACACACAAACACACACACACACACACTAAAAGTGACAACACTGGAAGTGAAATGTGAATTGGATGTAAATGGAGTTACAGAAGAAACAGCTGCCTGTGGGAATGTTGGCATTGCTGCCACCGGAGAGGCACAGGCAGCCAGGGCGATGGCCAACACCCACGAGGGAAATGGCCGTGACAGAAGAGACGGAGAGGGAGGGGACACCAGGGGAAGTAACGCTGGCAAAAGACTTCACATTTAAGGAACTCTTGGAGATATTTCATAACATTGAAAAAACAAAGGATAAATGCTGGCAGCTGATCCAAACCTAGAAGGAGTGTGACGGTTTGCCAGGGCCCAGAAAAGATGCTTGCTGTGTATTATAAAGCACACAAGAAGAAGGTGGCAAGCACTCTCCAAACTACTCTTGATAAAATTTTAACAAAGAAATAAAATACTTTAATTCTTAATGTTTCTAATGTTACAGTGTACTAAATCCATAGCAGTTATCTTATTTTTCATTTCTGTATACTATATGTTTATAAATAACAGTAAGAGACCTTTTAATGTTTTGACAAAAATTTTTCAAAGTCATGAAACAACCACTATTACACCCACTGATTAAGATTGTTGGGCGTGGTTTCAGCTCGCATTGGTCATTTTTACAGTTCCACGCCACGGTGCTATGGAAAACAAGGCTTGTACTTTAAATTTTCCTCAAAAACGAAGGGGATGAAAGTGAAATGAAAAGAAATAAAATAAAGACAAAAGATGAATAACTGGGAAGATACACTTGTAGCTTGTATCACAGATGATGGCTAGAAATCAAGTAGGAAAAAAAACTAAACGACTTAGTAGAAAAATCATCAAAAGCTGTGAAAAGACTGTTTGCAGTAAAAGAAATACAATGGACATTAAATATTAGAAAAAATTCTTAACTTCATTCATAATAAGAAAAATGCAAAGTAAACTATACTGAAATACCAATTTTTTACACCCAGGGCCAAATTCCAAAATCTGAAAACATACTTTGTTGGCATAAGTGTGGGGAAAGAGGCATTCTTGTATATTATTGATGAAAGTGGGGAAAAAAATGGTATAACCCTAATGATGGGCAAATTATACTATCATTCAAAATTACAAATGTACTTCCTTTTGACCCAGAAATCCCACTTCTGGGAAATTGTTCTGACATCTGTAGCTGAATATGGATGAGATGATCCAGCTGCACAGTATATAGATCATTGTAGCATTGTTTCTTAGGCAAAGACTGGAAACAACCCAAAGCTCATCAATTAGATAATAAACTGTGGTACATCTACAGTTTTATTGGAATACTGTGCAGCTCCCTCTATCGCCAAATGTAGAAGCTTTTGATGCATTAATGTGAAAAGACCTCTAGGATATATTGTTAAGTGATAAAAAGCAGGTGTAGATCAATATGTATTTAGTAGTATTACTACCTCTATATTAGAATTGTATATTCTCATTTGTTTATTTGAACATAAAGCCACCCTGGGGAGTCTTACAAAAAACCAAGTATCTGTAGGAGGTAGGGCTGGGGTGAGGTCTGGAAGAGGAATAAAAATGAGACTTTCCAATTCTAACTTTTTATAATCCTTTGATTGTTAACAACTGTGAAAGTATTAACTACTCAAATAACATTAAATTAGAAAATGTAAAAATCATCTACATATATCAAAGACTATATTTCATAAATTGCTGTCTAATTAGGCCACATTTAAAGTTTAGTATATAAATAGTTTCTTAAGTTTAGCTGTTTAACCTAATAAAGAGTTTCCTTTGCTTAATAAATTAACACATTGCAGTTAATTTTCCAAATCACAAGTTAAATACCCTGCTACCCTGGGGGTGCGTGTGTGTGTGGGGGGTATATGTGTGGTGGGGATGGGCGTGGAGGGTGGGAGCATACACATAAGAAAAAAAGTAACCAAAAAGTATAGAAAAGAAAGTGGGAATTAAGAAGGCATGAGAAACGGCAATGAGGCTTCTTAATCAATGTTATCAATGTTGAAAGGAGAATAAAAATATGGCCCCAAACAAGATACAATGGGTCTTTAAGGGGAGAGTAAGCGGACAGGGGAAAATGTGGAAATAAAAGTACATAGTTAGCCATGACCATAATTTTAGCATCCCCAAATGCCACATCCTGCAATGTTGGCCCCTTCTGATATCACTTAATCCTCAGAGAAATCCCCCACCAAGTGCATCCTGGTCTCCTTTGTTGGCCTCGGGAAGAAAACTGCTGTTAATAATGCAAGGAGAGACTGGGGCCCCATTCTCACTCTTCTGAAACAGAATAATGCCCAGCCTAGAATCTTACTCCCGTTAAAACTAAGTTTTGTATATGAAGGAGAAATCAAGACATTCTCAGATAAGCAAAGACTGAGGGAATTCACCAAGACAAGACTAGCCCTTTAAGAAGTACTCAAAACAGTGTCACCCATGGATCAGAACACTCAGGAATGTAAATCTACTCAAAAGCTAAAGATCAAAGCCCAGATACCACAATGGCTCAAGAGAGAAAACGAAGCAACAAAGTTCAACCCAACATAATGAACAGAAATCTGCCCCACCTATCAGTTATCTCAATAAATGTGAATGGCTTGAACTCCCCACTCAAGAGACATAGGCTGGTAGAATGGATAAAAAAATACAAGCCAAGTGTCTGCTGCCTTCGGGACACACATCTAACCTGCAAGGATGCAGTTTGACTAATGGTAAAGGGGTAGAGAATGGTATTTCAAGCAAATGGAAGCCAAAACAAAGGTGGTGTGGCTGTGCTGATTACAGATAACTTAGTTTTTAAATCAACAAAAGTAATAAAAGACAAAGAAGGTCACTATATAATGGTGAAGGGCACAGTTCAACAAGAAGACATAACAATTCTAAATATATATGCACCCAACCTAGGTGCACCCAGATTAACAAAGCAAACTCTACTTGATCTAAACAAATGGACAAACAACAACACCATAATAGTTGGATACTTTAACACCCCACTGACAGCACAGGACAGGATCCTACAAACAGAAAATCAACAAAGAAATAATAGACTTACATAGAACTCTAGAACAAATGAGCCTGACTGACATTTATAGGACATTCTACCCCAAAACCACTGAATATACATTCTTCTCATTAGCTCATGGGTCATTCTCTAAGATTGACCATATCCTAGGACACAAAGCATGTCTCAAACAATTTTAAAAAATAGAAATTATACCATGTATCTTTTCAGATCACAATAGAATAAATGTAGAAGTCAATCCTAACAGGAGCTTTCATTTCTACACAAAGTCATGGAAACTAAACAACCATCTGCTGAATGATCACTTCATAAATGAGGAAATCAAGATGAAAATCAAAAGATTCTTTAAACTAAATGACAAAGGAGACACAAGTTACCAAAACCTGTGGGACGCAGCTAAAGCAGTCCTGAAAGGACAGTTTATTTCCATAAATACCTATATCTAAAAGTTGAAAAGATCACAAATAGACAAACTAATGAATCGTCTCAAAGAGCTGGAAAAAGAAGAACAGATCGACCCTAAACCCAGCAGAAGAAGTGAAACCATTAAGATCAAATCAGAACTAAACAAAATTGACAACAGGGAAACTACACGGAACATTAATAAAACAAAAAGTTGGTTCTTTGAAAAAATAAACAAAATTGACACACCTTTGTCTCGACTAACAAAAAGCAGAAAAGAAAAATCTCTAATAAGCTCCATCAGGAACAATAAAGGAGAAATTATAACGGATGCCATGGAGATACAAGATATAATTCATGAATACTACAAAAACCTCTATGCATACAAACTAGAAAATGTGGAGGAAATGGACAATTTCTTAGAAACACACAGTCTCCCTAGGCTCAACCAGGAAGAAATAGAATTCCTGAACAGACAAATATCAAGTACTGAAATTGAAACAGCAATAAAAAAATCTTCCTAAAAAGAAGTCTTGGACCAGATGGTTTCACACCTGAATTTTACTACATCTGCAAAGAAGAATTATTTCACAACATTGAAAAGGATAGAATTCTCCCCAACACATTTTATGAAGTGAACATAACCCTGATACCAAAACCAAGAAAGGATGCAACAAAAAAAGAAAACTACAGACCAATATCCCTTATGAATATAGATGCAAAAATCCTCAATGAAATCCTAGCCAATTGAATCCAAGTGCTTGCCAAGAAAATAA